CGACGAGAGCGAGCGTGCGAGCGAATTCGCAAACAATTGCGTCGGCGGTGCTTGCAAAATTCGCGGTGGATGCCAGGTCGGGACGTGTTTCGCGGATTAGCGAGGCCGTAACGCACGTCGCAACAAAAGCAACGCCGCGTCGCAAGCTTACGGATGCAAGCTTGAACACGTACGGACGCAGTTTGAACGCGTCCGAGGAACCTGGACTGTTGATCGCCGATGCGTAGATGTCGCTTAAACTGCTGTTTACGGAATTTATTAACGCTACAGCGAACCTTGACGGCAGTTTTGCAACGGCGTCAGGGAAGAGCACGCGCGTGTCTTTGATATTAATTGGTTTTATTATTTCGCAAATATTGAACTGCCATTGAGGAAACTTTAAACGCAAATTAGCTCGGCTTTGGACTACCGCAAGTTTCTGAAGAAAAATCGTAGGATGATCTACCTTGGCGCGTCTCGAAGCATGGAATCTCTACTTTCGAACCACTGCATCGTTTTTTGTCACAGACGATTTCAGACTTTTGAAATTTGATGGACAGGAAGAAATCGGCAAAATTTTTGGCGCATCGGAGGACTTCCGTTCTCCACTCTGTTATTTTGAACTCTGTTTTTTGTACAAAAAATCCATTTCAGCTTGTCAAAGTAGAGGTTTCAAGCTTTCAAACGAGCCCAGGTGGAAAGTTATGCGATTTTTTCTCACGAAGTTACAACGCATCGAAGATTGATCATTTTTTGGTCACAAGCTCGATTTATCTTCTCGTAAAAAGATGTTTGACGATCGTAAAATTAATAACAACCTCGAAGCTGGACTGTGACGAGTGCGAGCAACCATAACGGAAAGTAGAAAGGTGGAAATCGGTGGAAACCTTCGCGATTTATTGGAAATCCTAAGTGCGAGGAGGAAGAAAGTGATAACCTAGAAGCCTCCTCCGGTAATCGCACTTCGCGGTCACGATCGCGAATCGATCGTGACCGATTCGATGCACGCAGCATAGACGAAAAACTATGTATAAGTGCTACCAAATACAGCGAGTAATCGATCAAGGCTCGCGGAGTCTGCGAGTTCCGTTGAACCGTGTTCGCTGCCCGGTCGCGTCCACGTTTCGTAAAGGAAATCATTAGCTTGTTAATGGAACGTCGATGGGTCAACGTACAGTTTCCCGTGAAATCGATTGCGAAGCCGTCGTCGTGACTCATTCGACACATGAAAATGACTTGATTACTCAATCGCGAAGCCAGAAAGCGCCTTAAATGAAATCTCCTTCGCTCGAATCCAGCCTTCCGCCCGTTTGATCCTGGTTCGGCCGTCGAAACGTCGGATATATCCAGACGGTGTAACGCTAATCGACACGAGTCAGGCTTTTTCTATTCGGAGACCACGGCTCAAAGTTCCAAGTATCAATACGCAATTCCAGGTAGCAGCGTTTCGACAGCTGTCTTTCAAAAACCGTAGCAAATTCCACCCGAAGAAACATTTCACAGTGAATCTGATTAGAGAACGTTGACAGCGATTTAGAAAGCTCCGCGATCTCACGAGGCGACAAATATTGCTACCAAATACTCTGGAGATTAATTTATTCGCTGCCAATGGCACGGACTTCATTGTTGTACAATATTATTCTTCCGCATTGATCGATCAGTTCGATTCTATGCTTTCAAATTGCAATTTCAAACGAACTCGACGAATTTGTCTTCGCATTTTATTATTTTAATTTAATGCAATTTATATTGAATTTATTTAATCTATTTAACCTATTTAATTTATTTAATCTATGTCATTCGTTTAATTTATCTAATTTATTTAGCACAAGCGAGCCAGATGCTCTTTTGATTTCTCTACAAAAATTCCCGCGTAATAATAATGGAAATAATAATATTAATACTAGAATAACAATAAAAATGAACATTGTGTTCATGCTGTCAATGAACATTATAACATAGTTTTACATAGTTAAAGGAATTACTTTTTGTATGGTACAGGTTCGGCAAGTGCTACAAGATTTTTTTTTACGGCCTACACAATAAATATTAAAATATATAACACCACTGAAGCCACGCGCGAACATCAAGGTTCACAATTCACAAACCAGATGATACTGGCTGTCAGGTTGTCTTTATAGTGGTTGGTCCGCTTCCTTCATCTGTACAGGCCGCTCAAAAGTTAATTACCATTCCCCCGGATTATCCGAAGCTATTAATGGCACAAGGCGGTCCTCATTAGCATTAAACTGAAGCAAACCAGCTAAAGGAATGAACGATAAACGAGGTGCCCAAACTTGTCTGACATCATCTTTCTAGAACAGGATTTTCCTTTCGAAAGAGTTTGACGCAGTTCGACGAGGTTGTTCGCGGCATCGACGATCTTTGCTCGAGTAAAAATAAAACCTGCGAAGGGTATAAGAGGCGAACAAATTCCGAAACCAGTCCGATATCATCCTAGAACAGGATTTTTCTCGTAAAACGGTTTGACTGTTGAAGCAGGCCGACGAGATCGTTGCTGTTGCACAAACAGTTTTCCATGACGTCAAACTGGCGCTAGAAAAAGGAATGAAAGGCGGATAAATCCCTAAAAAATTTGCACATCATCCTAGAACAGAATTGTTTGAACAAAAGAGTTTGATGTAGTTCGATGGCGTTGCTAAGTTAAGACAAAGCGTCCTAGCAAAATAAATAAAGTGAACACAAATTCCTAAACAATTCTGACGTCATTCTAGAACAGAATTGTTTCAACAAAGAAGTTTGATATAATTCGACGCCGTTGCTAATCTCCCTGCGTTAAGACGAAGCGTCCTAGCAAAATAAATAAAGTGTACACAAATTCCAAAACAATTTGAACATCATTCTAGAACAGAATCGTTTCAACAAAGCAGTTTGACGTAAAAAGTCTTCTTATCAAATGAATGAAAAGCAACTAAATCCCCGAAGCACGTCATCCTGTTTTTTTTCGAAAAGAGATCGACAAAGTTGCTGTTGCCATAAACAACAACTCTCTGCCCGCACGAGACCTCAGCAAGAGAGCAAAAAGAACGAAAAACCCTCGAGCTCTAGCTGCACGAACGCGATTATCCGTCCAAAAGTTTCAAGGAAATACGGTTCCGGAGTAACCGGTGGCTGGAACGACCACTTAGAGCGCAGGGGGTAAAAAGAAAGCCAGAAATCGCGCAGGATCGTAGAGGGTCGCTGCAGCGACCGGCAGGAGCTGGTGAAAAATCGTCGCTGGAAGGACGACAGGTGGAGGGAAGGTGAGAAAGAAAGGCGTCGGGTCGAAAAAGGACGGGATTATCGACGCGTGAGAGCGGTGGGACGTGGTCGCGGTTAATGGATAAAGATATATATATATATATATATATATAGAGAGAGAGAGAGAGAGAGAGAGAGAGAGACAAAGAGAGAGAGAGAGAGAGAGACAAAGAGAGAGAGAGAGACAAAGAGAGAGAGAGAGAGAGAGA